TGAGTTGACCGAGAAGCTAGATTATTCATCTGCTGTTGCATTAGTTGGATATAGTCTTATTCTAGCGATTCTAAGAGCTTTTAATTTGAGAGATGAAGCTTCAAGAGTCATGGTTGCTGCTCCACTGATTGCATTTGTGACTACACACATCTTGTATCTGAACTTCTACAAACTTGATTATGGTAATTCTTTCTTTGTTACCCTCACAAAACAAGATTATCTGCATTCATCATAGTTTGCCTCTAGATTTGGGCTTATGCATACAGCTTTGTTCTATCAATTTTATTTAATTGCAACACATTATAGTTTCAACTTCCTGAATAAAATAACTGCTTGTCAAAGCTCCGATTCTGATCGATTTTTACTCCAATGCACTCTTGAAATTTGAAACGGATTTGCCTAATAGCTAGTTTTTATGCATCAGAACTTCGTTTCTACCATGTTTTCAGTTTTCACTCATCTACTAGGCTGAGCTATTCTTACATCATAAAAAACTTAGACAAACACTTTGTTCTTTTTTTATTGTAACTATTTTCGCTTTGACCGGTACTATGCGATTAGCAGCTCCTACTAGGTTCATGCTGCACCCTATTCATAAATCGGATTTGTTTGCAGGTCTAAATATGAAAGTTTGTATGGCCATGGGTGTAGCCCAAATTCTCATATGGGGAGTGTGGGCTGGTGTAACTTGCCATCCATCACGCTGGAAGGTTTGGCTATTTGTTGTGGGAGGAATCCTACTCGTGTTCCTGGGAATATACGACTTCCCACCGTACAAGGGGTTTGTTGATTCGATTGCTCTATGGCACGCTATCAGTATCCCTCTTACTTACATTTGCTGGAGCTTTGTCCAGGATGATGCAGAGTTGAGCACATCAACCCTCCTTAAGAAAACAAACTGATATTTCTTCGTTGGACTCATGCACTAACCTCTGCATGACACAACTATTTCACATTTCGTTTGCCTATGCTCGATGTTTTCTTCGCAATGCAAGGATATGCAGTGTAATTGAAGTCTTTAGACTCTGGTCTTTGTTTTTTGTCGTGGCGATCGATATAGTCACAAAGGCCGTTGTCCGACTTCGATGTAAATTTCTGTGTTGTATCTTTCAACTAGCTTGTTTTACCTGCAATGCTTGATTAGTCAGTCTTGTGTTGTAGGATATGCTTATCATTTTTCGTTGCATCATTTTAACTTGTAATAAGACAATGAAGCTTAGCTATGTTTTATATTCTTCGAAAAAGACAGAAGATAAGGCTGCCCCAGATGGATGTATTGTGAAGCCCATTGGATTTAACCTTACCAATACTTGGGCTATGGTTAGCTTGATTTTTTCCCCGATTGTCCTCTCGATTTTTACGGTTTTGTCTTAATTAGTTTAGACCAACTCAAGTAGTACATGTCTGGCCGTAGAAATTTTATGCATATATAAGAATTCAAACTAGAAATTTGTTTAAGTAATATTGAGTTATAAGGGTTCACTCTCGAAATTTATTTAAGTTATATTAAATTATTAATAAATTTTTAAATACAATAAATTTTTAAATAATTTTTTAACACATATTATATAGACACGGATGAAAAGAGGCAATCGCCGGCGACATGATATTTTTTTTTTCATTTTTATTTTATCTTTGTTTTGATTGTTAATTACACATTATCCTCTTACATTGATTGCTCCATCTCTGACTATGATCTTATCCAACTTAAGTTAGCCTTTGTAAATTTGTACGACCTCGAATGAATTTTAAGACCCATAAACATCTCTATTTTCTTCCTAATTGAATCCTGTGTTCTATTCGGACATCAAAGATATTAATTATCTCTTAAGTCAAAGATATTAGCACAAACTGTGGGTACAGAACACAGTTTCTTATTCCCTTTCTGGTTTACTCATGTTTTTCAAACATATAATAATATAACTTAGCCTAATGATTTTTTGACAAAGGATGTGATTGTATCTAAATATAACGTAGGGTGAAATTAGAATGTTCAAAAAGTTTGAGGACTAATTTAGAATGAATGTTATAGTTTGGGATGAAATTGAATGTTCAAAGTTTGAGATAATTTAAAATGTTATTCGTGGTTTAGGATGAAATTAGAATATTTAAAAATTTAAGGACCAATTTAAATGATGGTCATACTTTGAGGATATGATACAATTTACTCATATAAATATTGTAAGGGTAAACTACACCGATCATCACTGAATTTTATTCTCTCTCATATTTCAGTACTTTAAAACCGTTCAATCTCCTCGTTGAATTTAATGTAATTAGTTTTTTTTTCCACTCAACTGTTACCCCTGCTCAAATTATAAATTATAAAACTTGCCACATAATATCAGTGTTGACCAGATCTTTGTTTGGAACAAGCCAACTTGTTTTAAAGTGATGGCGAGGAAATTTGTTTGGAGCAACCAATTTTCCTCCTCCACTAGATCCTGTTGCAGACTACCATTCCGCAAGAGACTCTGTCTTCCATGGCTGTTTCTCCTCGAGTTCTCCCGCTAGAAAGCGGCGCCCATCGCCATCTCCGATATTAGCAGACTTAAACCTGGTAAACTCTCTTCTTTCCTTGTCTCAAGAAATCTCCGCCCTCAAACCTCTTCAATATCTTCTAATACGAAAGTCCCTTTCCACCATAAACAAGTCCATTCGAAGAGCTTGTTCGATACCCAATTACTATCTCCTTCTCTACTTCAACCCTCCTCTGCTTCGAAGAAATGTACATCGTTTTACAAAGAATTAAAACTTTGATTGACGATTGCTCCAATGGATGCAAGATGTGGTTGCCCATGCGAATCGCACGTTTGGCCAACAGTTTCCGCGAGCTTACCCTCGAATTATCCACTCCCTTCGACATTTCCCCCGACGATGATCTTCTCAGGCGAGACGTTTCAGCTTTGCTCGATCTGATTAAGAAAGAGATCATCCTAGATCATTGAAGTTTGTCGCAGGGAAGAAATCTAAAGTGGTGATGGCGGGCCCAGTGGAGGAGACTGGATATTTACCTCTTTTTTTTTAACTTTTTTCTTCTTCTTTTTTTTACTTGGAAAATGATAACTAAAAATATAATAAAAAATCACTCATAACGTCGTTACTGGGAAACGAATGAATGAACAAAAAAGCTAAACACATTAAATTTAGTAAGAAAATTGAACAATTTTAAAGTACAGTGAGTGAAATAAGAAAGAGAGAAAAATTTAGTGATAACCTGTGTAATTTACTCATATTGTAAACTTAACAATGTGTGACTTATACTTTAAAAAGTTTGACTTCGATCCATTATGATGATTTTCTCTGTTTTGGATATTCTGATTGATTTGGATACGTGGTTTACGTTCGTGGATAGTTTTCTCACGTTGTTTGACTCTGATTTGTGATTTGTCAATGGTATTTTAATAGTTTTATCCCTTTTGTGATTCATTTATCGATGCAGTCAGATTTGTTCGAGCATTAGTTGGGTTTTTTAACCCTTTTCTTTTATGGTCATTGTATAATCTAGATGACTAGTTTTTGTATCAATAATTATAAAAAATGTTCTAATTATAATTTAATTTACGTTTAGAGTTATGCTTATAAATCTTCATAGTTATTATGAATATCTTCTATTTTTAACAAAACTAGAGGATTTCAATTAAAAAATAATAATGAATATGAAATATCAAATAGTATTTGGGTCAAATTAGGATTTACTTAATATATTTCAGGCCATTTTCACAAATATCTCAAAAACTGGGGGCTTGACTTGAGAAATACGAACGTTATTTTCATCTCGCTATTTATTGACTTACGAGCCTCACATTTCAGATTATTTCGTGAAAAATATCGCGAGGCTTTGTAACTAGGGTTTCGAACTTTCTCTGATTGTTTCACCCTGATATCGCTGCTTCCGAAGGTAATTCCTCACTCTAATCATCGTTTCCTTGTTCAATTTCTATGAAATTTTATTTTCCGGAGCTTTTTTATTTTCCCCCATGAAGATGTGTAAATGAAGGAAAATCTAGTTTCTTATAGATGTAATTTGTTCAGTTCCAATCGTTTATCTCGCCTTATTTGTCTTCTTAGTATTTATGATGAGATTTTAGCTCAGATCTATGATTTGCATATCTTTATGGTAGATTTGGTTGTTGTTTGATTTCATTTTTCATTTATGTAGATCCAGTAGCTGTAATTGTGTTTTTAGCTCCCCTTCCTTTGAAAGACCTCGAGAACATCCTTCACTAGACCGCGGTGAATAATTTGCTTATTTATCTCGAAAAGAATGCTTTCTCTTTTTATTGTATGATGAATCAAAATATAAAGAATGAAAGATGTGTAATTAATTTGGAGAAAGTCTCTTCTTCTGGAGTATGTTTTATGAAAATGGCCTCAGTGCTATATTTTAAATAGCCGCGAAGATATCCTTGTCTTGTTGGTTATCTTTGGTTTTGTCTCTTAAGCCTCTATTTCTTTACTAAATAGGCTTTGAAATAGTTGTTGATGCTGCTGCTATGTTCATTCTATTTTAATTATGTTAGAGTGTGTTAGTGCCTGATAGGTTACACTCTTGTTTTGACTTGTTCTTCCATAAATTTGCATGAGTATGCACATGTATGTCTCTCTCTGTGTGAAATACTGATGGAAAGTTGTCACATCTGCTCAGGCAACATGAGACCCATTTTCTGTGGAAACTTTGAGTATGATGCCCGGCAGTCTGATTTGGAAAGACTTTTCAGAAAATTTGGGAGAGTTGAAAGAGTAGATATGAAGTCTGGTAAGTATTGTTTCTCATTATCTATGTTATTTGTTCTATGTGAGAATGATGCTATTGGTGCAATTTGATGGATGTGTTAATTGTAAAAGTTTCAAGAGTATTTTGGGCTTAAAAAGCTGTTTTCTTGATTACTATGTCAGTTAAATTCTATTCCACGTAGTTTTTAGTTCCAAATATGTAAATGAATCCAAGCTAATTTTTGGTGTTGAACTCTAATTCCTCAAAAAAACCTGCTTGAAAAAATTTCTAAGTATAATCGTGGTATTATATTAAAAGAAACTTAATTTGAATTCTTACGGTAAGTATAATACTCTTTAATTGTAAATGTCTGTTAAAAGTTAAAATATGGAGCAATATGTGTGCACATGTCGCGATGAGTTAAAGTTCCTGCAGCAACGAGGAATGTTGAGTATCCTACTTCCAGAGCATTAAGGTGTTGGTCCCCTATCATGATGGCTGTGCAGCAGTATGACCTCGTAATACACGACACAGCAGCATCAATCATCCTTCGTTGAGTTTTACTGGGGGTCCATGATGTTTAAGGGGAAAAAAGTAATTTTGAAAAATAAACCCCCATACTCAACATTTTCTTTGGCGCAGGATTTTCTTGGGATCTAACGGAGGAGCTCCTCAGAATTCTGTTTCATGCATGTGATGAGCTTCCTCTTCTTGCTTTCAAGAAGAGTCACTCTAATCCGCAATGGCACCAATCATCCCTCATTTTCCTCCGGCATTTTTTCATTTCATTCATCATGACTTTTTCCCAGCCCTCAAATTCAGACATGTTTCAAGGTAGAAACATTACTGACCTCATGGCAGAGGCTGCAGAAATATGGAGAAGGCACATTAATTCCTTGCCCTACCTGAGATCCATTTTTGGATTCTTGTTCCTTGACATCACTTAGTTCATCGCTCAAGGTCTGTTACTACTTTAACTGGTCTTAGTTTATAGATTATATGGAGCTTGCCAAAATTTGTCCTTGGGCAGCAGTTTAGGTGGTTTGTTTCTTGCCGGAGAGGAAATGCCAACTGATAGAAGATTCCTTTGGTTGGAGGATTCATTGTATCTTAGTTAATCATTTTCCACCATTGTGAAACTCCTAATGAGTCCAATTTTTTTCTGGTATGTAGGATTTGCTTTCATCTATATGGAGGATGAGAGAGATGCTGAAGATGCCATCCGAGCACTTGATCGAACAGAATTTGGTCAAAAAGGACGTAGGCTTCGTGTTGAATGGACAAAGGTATTGATTCGGTATTGTTACTTTTGACAGATCATTGAACTGCTTTTCTGTTTGCTTTCTCATCTAAGTAAATTCCTTTTTATTAATGTGTTGAAGCATGAGCGTGGCATTAGAAGGCCCGAGGGAGGTGGGGGTGGTTCAAGAAGATCTGCTGCCAATACAAGACCTTCAAAGACTCTATTTGTCATCAATTTTGATCCATATCACACTCGGACTAGGGATTTGGAAAGGCACTTTGAGTCATATGGAAAGATTGTAAATGTAAGGATCAGGAGGAATTTTGCATTTGTACAATATGATTCCCAGGATGATGCCACCAGAGCATTGGAGGCTACAAATATGAGGTAGGATGCCTACTTCCCAAGAAGAATTGTCAATTATTTTCTCCTTTATTTCAAAAATATTCAGTAAATCTTATTATTTTTTCCTGAACCATGGTCTCTTGTCTAATTGCAGCAAGCTGATGGATAGAGTTATTTCGGTAGAATATGCAGTTCGAGATGATGATGATCGCCGAAATGGTTGTACTGAAACTCGTGATAGGTCACCTGAGAGAGGTCGTGACAGAAGGCGATCACCAAGTCCTTACCGAAGAGAGAGGGGTAGCCCCAATTATGGCCGTGGCTCTAGTCGTAGTCCTTATAAGGACAGGGGGAGCCCTGATTATGGTCGTGGCCACAGTCCAAGTCACTATAAGAGAGATAGAGGTAGCCCTGAGTATGGCCAGATCACCAGCCGTAGTCCTCCCCGAAGAGAGAGGGCTGGCTCTGACCATGCTCGTGGCTCCAGCCGAAGTCCTTACAGGACAGATAGGGCTAGCCCCGAGAATATCCAAGGCCCCAGCCCTAGTCCTTATAGGAGAGAGAAACGAAGTGCTGAAAATGATGGTAGCCCCCATCATAGTCCTTACAGAAGAGAGAGGCGCACTTCCGACAATGGTCATGGAGTAGACCATAGCCCATATGGAAGGGAGAGAGCTAGCCCAGAGAATGGTCGTGGTCCCAGCCCAAGCTCTATGCCAGAAAGAAGGGCCAGCCCTTATGGTGGTGAAGCTGAAAGTCCAGCCAATGAGAGATATCGCAGGTCCGTATCGTTATGATCTATAAGTTTTTCTTCATCTTTTGGTTCGGAGAGAATCGGTTTCACTTTATATTTTGCCATTTGAACTGCAGTCAATCGCCGGCGGCGGAGGAATGATTAGGATCCAGAGAAAGCATATGGAAGGAAGATCTGTCTTAGTGGTAAAACTCAGTTGGAAGCATTGTTATTTGTTGTTCGTCTTTGGTGACAAAACCGTTTATGCAAATTCCATTTAGAGCTGGATTCTCTGACCTTTTGCTGTAGTGCATAGTTCTAAAACGCTGGATTTTCTATCTAGTTTTGGTGCTATGGGGACATCCTGTTTTACTTTGAACTTTGAAACTCGTTTCTTTTTGTCACCTTGACTACCCTTTCATGCTTATTAGCTATCATCTCTATCTTGTTTTCTGAAATGTCTGTCTATCGTTTAGAATTTCATCGATAACCGATCTCTGAAAGCCATCGGACACCAGCAACGCTGCCTTTACTTCCGAAGAGAAACTTATAAAATAAAAAATCCATTAATCCTTTGCGTACTCTATTTTTGAAAAATCATGGGAACAAGGAAAACAATGACAAAATAATAAAAATAATCACAATATTAATGAATATTTGTAATTGAGATATTGCATGCACTACCGAAACAAAACAAAGAAAAACCCTAGAAATGATAAATACGATATGAACATGTCACCTTTTGCTCTTTTTTTAATAAAAGAATCAGAGCAATGGACAAAAAAGGAAGAAGAAAAATCATAACAGAGAACCAACACACTATCATCACCATGAGTAGTGCTTTACATTACTTTTTAATATATATATATATAAATATATATTAATCAATTGATCCGAGTCCAGATATTAGGGGTGTGCAAATCTAGGTACCGGAACATCCGGGTCAACTATTTCTCGGCCCGTGTCTCGATCCGGATGTTCCGGGTACCTGGTTTTCAAGTACCCGGATTTTACGGGTACCCGTATATCGGTTACCCGGATACCCGAATTTTTTTTCTTCAAATTATTAAATAAAAAAACACAAAAACTTAGAGGTAAAATTAGTAACAGTTACAAAGCAAACTTGGGAGGAAGCCATAAAATCAAAGGTATGAAGCACTTGGTACCTTCAGAAACTTGTGTGCTTGTGCATGTACATTTGTATGTATTGTGCTTTCTGTGCAAAATACACAGTTTTGAACTTAGATACTTATTACGGGCGGGACACAGAATTTACATAATTTAAGCTTTATCTGGGTAGAATTTTTCTCAACTGGTTTATGTATGTCTAGAAGTTACTTTAAGATGAAAAATAAACCATATTCCAAACACTGGATCATGTTGAAGAACCCATTGGTGTAACTTTTTGATGGTTAGTTCTCAGACTCATCGTTCCAAACTTTCATTGCTAAACAAAGTCAATGAACAAAAGTCACTTGCTGGTGCTACAAAAGCTAGAGAGAAGGTGGGAGTTGGCAGCAAAGCGATAGGTTTTGGGAAAGAAAATAACACAGGTGAAATTCATCTGAGCTAGAAATGCAATGGAAAAGGCAAGGCTGCTGAAGGCATGGTTGCAGGTAGAAAAGGGCCAAACCAGAGTGCATCTGCAAAGGGTGGCAAAACTTAACTGGGTACCCGGAGAAATCAATTTTTGTGGCCCGGGCCCGACCCAGAAAGTGTCAGGTACCCGACCTGACCGGGTATTTTTTTTTAGAAAATTACCCGGTTTTTTATGATCCGGGTCGGCGGGTCGGGTAATTTTTGCACACCCCTACCTGATACCGTTCCCCGAAACCGCTCGTGTCGTGAGGCAAACGACTTGACATAGCCTGAAGAACTTTAAAGAGCATGAGTACAGCGAGTTGGAATGCCATAGCAGGAACCATAATCTATGCCTTTTTGTCTCGAGCGCTTAACCCTTCCATAAGAAAATATAGCATATCGGAGGCCATTTCTGCATTCGGCACAGAAAATTAACCTAACTCGCTATGGTGAAACTCTTATGACTGAGAATTATGTTAGCATGTCAGCTTTTTCCGGTATGGCTTCCCTATATACTCGTTTAAGACTATCAGGTTTAGAATGGCCCATCTAAGGGTACCTGAGGCGTTGCAGAGTGAAACAAGTTCATAAGGTCATGTTTCACCGGAATTTCGAATGGCTCAGGTGAGCTTCGTGTCAACCGACTCATTCGATGTTCAGACAGAGAAATGGATTCAATAGACTGCATGGCAAGGAAGGCCTTCCGTTGCTGAGAATTATATTTCTAAATCGTGTTACCATCTGCTTCATTTAACAACTCGTATAACGTGTTGTCGGGAAAACGGTCTTGTGAGTCAAGTTACTGGGTAGAGTTCTGCGACAAGAGATGTAGTTCAGAGATGTTCGATTACACAGAGAAGTGCGCTTTGAAGTACATGCTGGAAAAAGAGAAATGTATGCTTTCCTTGGCATCACCTGCAAGGGAAAAGGGTGCATCTTCATCTTGTTTTCGTACTTTTACTGCAGAATTAATACAGAGAGGCACAAGAGGTTGGGAGCAAATGATATTGAATGCACAACTTCATTCTAGGGCGGCTGATGCAATGAATTATGGGCAGTGAAACATGTAAAACATCATATTATAAGAAACAGAATCTGTTCCCAAAGTTTGTTCAATAGATTACATTTGTAAGACTTGAAAACTGGAAATCCCTAAAAAAAAGAGAAGGGGAAAAGGAGATTGATAGCTAAACCCCTACTGAAAGCACAAAGCAAGTGTTGTCACAACAATGCCATAACGGGAAAGATAAACCATGGGAAGAAAGAGCAGCTATTTCAAATGCTCTGTACAAGATTTGCCCTGACACTCACCGAATGGGAGAGCCCTTAACTGAGCCACACAATGTTAGTCATGCCTTCCAGCCATAATCGTCAAGCTCACTGTTAAAATACCCGCTATCCAAGAATTCTTGAGCTATATCCGAAACTATATCATCCTGCAAATGGAGACTCTCAGGCAAATAAGGTGCTCTCTGGTTGAATCCAGCATTGCCACCAACTGTTGAGGAGTCGCTGTTTGAAGGACCTTTGAAACTGTTGCTTCGACTCGGGGCAGGCCCAGCTGCACTTCCTGATGCATTAGGGGTGGCTGCAGCTGGTTGAGCAGTGGTGTTGCTACTAAAGTTTCTTTCCGAACCGGCATTCCCATTCTGCCCGCTCAGAGACTGCTGTTGCTTTTGATGTCGTTGAACTCCGGCATTGTTATTAGACATCTCATGGTAAAGCTGTTGAATCATTTGTTGTTGTAAAACCTGGTTACCCTGAGAGGGCTGCAGATGGTTCTTTTGGACTGAGTTATTACAGCTTACTGTAAGCTTCTGTTGAGTTGGTAAATGGGGACTCGATAAGCCACTAACAGGCAGTATCTGCATGGGCCCTGATAACACAGCGGCAGGTCCGCGGAAATTTGAAGATGGGTTCTGGTTAGAATTATTGAAGAGAGAAGAGGCTTCCTGATTGAGTGAGTTAGGGTTTGAATTCATCGAATTCTGCCTACTGAGCATATTCTGGTAGTTAGAAAGTGCCATAGCAGCTTGTGCTGAACCGCTTAAAGCTCCTCGACCAACCATCTGCTGCTGGCTGCCACCCATTGGGTTGCTTATTCCAGGATGAAGTGCCATTAGCTTATTGAAGGTATTCCTGTCAGTTGGCAGACCCTGTGCGTTCACTAACTGCTCCATTTCCTGCATCTTTTGCATTTGGAGCCTGGCTGCACTGGCATGTTGAGGATAGTTTTTCAAGCCATCTGCAAATATGGTTTTTAAGTAAACAGAAGGCCATGATCAATCATTATTATTATTTTTTTAAACAGGTAGCAGGCCATAAAACTGGTATAATTGAGTAGCCAAATTTGCATATTAACCCAAAACAAAAATGAAACTCTAGCAAGAGGCAGCTGAAGATCATCTTATGCTACATGACAAACAGCTAGAATTAAAAGCATGGAATTACTATTCTCTAGAATAAAAGAAGAAAGCATGCCACATTATAGTTAGAATTAAAAGCAGTTGCATGCTAAATACAATTCCATGATTCTGACCACTTGATTTGATGAACAAAATAAAACTATCAAAACGTCAGACAGTAAGGCAAATGCATAACTTACCAATTGGCCCAACCTTGTGTTCTCGACAAAAATCTATTAGATCTTTCATGCTACTTACAACCTCGGCAATCTATAACAAATTATGCAAAAATTGTAAGGACACTCAAAATTAATATATATCTACTGAAAGTTAAATACAAAAAGCTAAAATTATACCTGCAAACACCGGACATATCTTTTCGAAAAACCCAAGTCATTCAGCGACTGTAACTCCAAACTCTTCACAAGCTGCCGTCCAGCTGTCAGGACCCTAAGAGAAACCAGCCATGTTCAACCGGAAAAGTTCTAATCAGAAATAACCAGGTAATAGACTAATAGCTAAACTAATAACTTTTTCTGGTAAATAACTACTCAATCCTTAGTTAAAAAGTAAATAAAGAGTTTAAGGTACGACCAAAAGCTCAATTAAACAAACACTAATATTTTAAGACCCTGCAAAATCACTTTTTTGGTGCCTCTTGGGCTTAATGGCACTCAAGGAGGGTAACAATAAAAAAAAAAATCATATTTACACGGTTTGAAGCAAGTAATCTCTTAAATCTGATAAGTGACATTAAGTCATGGCAAAGAATTTCACACTAATTCAATTAACCCACATATTGCTTTTTGTTTGCAAGTCCTGCTGAGAAACCCCCTCAGATCCACCTTCAGAAATTGTGTTCTGGCATTTCTGTGCTACCTGAAGTAACTGGTTTACCTGCATGATTTACAAAAGTCAAATCATATCAGGTGTCCTTAAAGAACTTAAAACGAACAACATATAATTAAATATGTTAAAACTTAAAACCATATAAGATTTAGGAAGTTCATTTTTTTTAAGATAGAATAATTAAACCTCATACACATGCTAGAGGATTGCAAACTTAAAGATTAGAATAAAATGAAAGCATTGTTGACCAAGCCTGTGGTGTATTGGGAAGGGACATCATTTTATACCTGTTTGACATTACATAATGGGTTCGATCAATGGCACCCCATCCCCCTTCCCCTTATATAAAATGAAAGCAGAAAAAGCCATTTTTATTTTTACCCTGCTGCTTTTGAAGGTTAACATCGAGTGGATGATATTATTTTGGGCTTTCTTGTTATGATTCCTAATACATCAACGCATTCAGAGCAAAATTTACAGGTCTTGGAGTGTAAAGGGGATAAAATAAAGTAGAGCAGAATGGAGTAAAGGGTTTAACCTACCATGTTTGAATTATTTTATCTCTAACC